AAATGCTTTCATCACAGAACAGGTATCATTTTTCGATAACCTTAATAGATATCGGTACGATACTTGATACGATAAAGAAAATGCTTGGAAAATATAACAAGACGTATAATTCAGATTATTACTATTCACATTAGTATATACAATTTACAATATAAATTAGTGAAGTTTTTTTATTCGTATACACTTAATTTATTGGTCAAAGATTGCAATTTTTCAATTATTCTCCATATTTCTCCCGTAATAAAAATAAAACTTTGTCGTATTCATAAAGTTTCTGTCGTCCATCGATTCCTCTATCAATTCGATCCAACTTCCTCGAATTATTATCCTTCGAAAAACTGTTTCTCAAGTCATTAATTAAGAAGAATACAACCGTTTACCAACCGAGCAGCAAATCAATGCCCATTTCCATCCTATTTCTTGGTATATAAATTCTAAAACAAACACTTGGATTCAAGCGCTTGGTAACGTGGCTGGTTGGTGGCAGCCACGTTGGATTTTTAAGCGTTAAGTAATTTTCTTTCTTTCCAACTGGGATAATAACGCAGATGACAGACTTCCCGGTACGGATCATGATTTCTCGGTTGGTTTTGCATCGTTGTTTGCCCGTTTGTCGTGGTCATCGCCCGTTAGAAAAGAATCGCCAAGTTCGCCAAGTTACCGCCGTGGGAGAGTCGTTCGATCTGGATCACCACGAGAGGAATCGCTCCGGGTAAACCGATCCCGTGGCGCGTACCATCGGCGCTGATGGACGAGCGAGGTGTGTCACGGTCACTTGGCCAACAAAACGTTTATTAACGCTCGACGAAATCGATAAAAAGAAGGGGAAAAAAGACAGGGAAGAAAAGAAACAGAGCCGACCCTCGCGCAAATTTTTAATCTCGATTAAAGACCAAGTTCGATCGACTCATACGATCTTTCGTTATTATTATTCTGGCTTTCCATCTTATTACTTGTTTTATCATTAAACGAAGATTCGATTTCATCGTGAAACGATTAAAAACGATGGAAAAATTTCAATTCAAAGTGTTTTCTACGTAATAAAAGAATTTATATATTCCTATCTTCATCTTAATTACGAGCAAGATTTATTACGACGATTAGTAATGAATTAATTCTTCCCTTTCCCATAAAAATCCTGATAAACGAACGACGATTATTCCATTTCGTTTAATTATAACGGTGATTATAATTCGAATTAACTTCATATTATTGTAATTTTAATCCCAGCAATTGAACCAATCTACGTTACTCCTCTTTTCCATGCTATCTTCACGCTATGATTGTTATTAAGCGTGAATTTTCAACATTAATCGCGAATAATTGAAAACATACTTAAATATCCGATCAAAAATACAAGAAACAAAAGACAACAAACTCTCTATCTCTCCTCTCAATCCTCTTGTAAACGATCGATCGATACCATTTCGTTCAATTATAAATATGGTAATTATAATTCACTTCAAATTATTTCAATTTTAATCCCAGCAATTGAACCAATCTACGTTATTCCTCTTTTCCATACAAAAAAAAAGACAACAAACTCTCCATCCCTCCTCTCCATCTCCTTGTAAACGATCGATCGCCGATCGATACGCAATCTCCACACAATGGCGTCTTCCAGATCATCGAATCAGAGCCGCGATATCGTCCATCCCGCCGAACAAATACAGCCTGTAAAAATAGCTTTCTCCTCGCAGCATCGCCGACACGCGTCGCCGACGATCGATATCGATGGGCAGGTGCGTCCAGGTGCCGTTTCCAGAAGCGTGCCGACTTCCTTCTAAACCGAACCGCGATCGCTATCCGAATTTGTCGCAATAACTCATTCGACCACGCTCCTGTTCGACAACCTTGCGCGCTCCTTCGTTGAAATTAATCGATTCTCGATCACGAAATATCATTTTCGTTTCGAGAAGGAAATTTTCACGAAAGATTATATTATTAGGTAATCACTATTTGTTTGTAATCATAAGACACGAAGGATCGAAGACACGAGTGAAAGCGATTATTCGAACGGAAGGTGGGGGGGGGGATCGATGATGGGAGGAATCGAAGCCGCAAACACATTTTTGCCCGTCTCTCGAGCAACAAAGCTGCGATTCACCGAGCAAAAAAGTAGCGCTTTCACGCGAGCGGACCTCACGAGAGGGGACTCTCTCAACAGGTTCCGTGGAGGAGGAGGAGGGGTCGGCGAGCAGGCAACCGTGATCCATAGGAAATCGATGGAAAAGAAAGCTCGATTGTCCGCAGGTGGCAACCTCGATTGAGGAGGAGGAGGAGGCCGGTGTATCGTTTCCAGTGGCACGGAGCGGCGATAAAGGATGAAAACGAGGGTGTTGTTGGATCGCAACACCTGTCTCGTAGTCGGCGCCGGGGGTTGTTGTGATCCCTGGACCGTGACGAAACGCTCTCCGCGCGGTTCTAGGTGAACGTCCGATTCTACCCTGAAGATCGATCCCTCGGATTCCTTCTTTCGATCGGCCCTTTGACGACGTGGATGTGTTGTTCGAAGGATTCGTCGATGGATTAACGAGGAGATCGGTGCGGTTCAAAGAGGAAACAAAGTGAAACGTATCGTATAAGGAAGAGAAAAAGAAAGCTTCGTAGCTTTCGAGTTTTCCTAATTAATAGTTTTCGACGAAGAAAAGAAATATTCTTTCTTGAAAAGTGATCGTTCGTTCGATTTTCTCCTCCAAGTTTTCTCCTCAAGAGCCCCTCTGTTAATTCTTGCTCCGCTCGATCTCTGGATCCGGTCGAGAGGGAATGCTGTTAACTTTCGCGCGATCTTATACGCGCCGCTTCATTCTCGGTGATTACTCATTAAGGTCTCTATGTTACCGTGAAATTATCTCAAAATCCCACGGCCCGTGCCTGTTCAGCCAGAAAACGATTTTAAGCCTAGCCGGGGAGGGGGGAGGTAATTAAAGAATCTTACTCCCGAACGATTAACACTCGATTTATATTTTTCCACCTGTAACACGCATCGTATTGTGGCGGAGCAAACGGAATAACTGTGGAAATGATCTAGAGGTGTTCATTCTTCGAACGAAGAAGAAACCCATTATCGGTTAGCATTCGTCAGGTTTCACTTTTTCCATTTTACACGCATCGACGTGTAACATTGGTAAAAATTATTGCGGTATCGGGGCAGCTTGGACAAATCTTTGGACAAATACTGCGATCTATTCATGTAAATGATCATCGTCAACTCGTTATTCGCGTAATTTTCTTAAAAATCGTTCGATCATAAAATGATGAACTTAAAGGAAACTGCAGGAAAAATTGAACGAACGACGATCAAGCGTATATATCACTCGTTTCATTTCCATTAATTTTACAGTTACAATGCAATCAATTACACTTATCGTGCCCACCTTCAATCCTTCGAATCGTCAACTAATCCCAAGCCAATTTCGCATGGTATATAGGCAAGCCAATATAATACCACTTAGTTCGAACTAAGCGAGATGGAAGATAAGATATTCCGCCCGACGGAATATTTCTTCGTTCCAACGAATGAGACCAATGATCCCGATGCCATTAGCATAGTCACGATCCACGGCGACATCGCGGCTCTCCACGTACCCCGTTATATATCTTCGCTGCCTTGCCACCGGCTAAATGGTTTCCCGATGTAAATTGGCCCCTGCAAATTGCATAATCATCTTTAACAGGGCTACGCTGAAGAAGAAGGCAGCCTTCAACGGAGGTTAAAAGTTCGTAATCTTATCTTTCGAATCTCTTTCTTGACAAGATTTTTGATCGATGATTGAACGAATCATCCTTTATTTACGACTCTTCTTGCTTGCAATAATAATCTCTCCCTTTTCTTTCCTCAATCGATGATTCGCGATGAAGGAATTGAATTTTTTGTCTCTGACTCCTCTGGCTCTTTTGTTGTCGTTTAATTAATAATAAATTCGGAAAAATTATTGAAATAGAATTTATTTCATAGAAGAATCTCTTCTCTTCCTAACAAAGAACTTTCTAATCTGACTCTGAGCCTCGATTTTTCCACAGCGCGTAAATTCTGACCTCCTCCTCCTCCTCCTCCTCCTCCTTCTCGAGGATCGAGCACACGGCGCAAAAAGCGGACGGCACGGTCAAAAGAAAAATGGCGAGGAATCGAATCCGAATGGGATTTCAGGCGCGAGATCTCGATCGATCGATGTTGGAGGCAATAATTCGGGGTGCCACCGCCACGCCTTTGCAATATCGAAATATTAGCACTCGCGCTGGTGTATTATTTACACGTGTAGACGAGGCGGGAGAGAGTTGCGGTCGAGGGTTGGTGGTAATCGCCACCAGCGGGCCGGGATAGATTAAATTGGGGCAGGTAGCAGCAGCCGAGGTGAAGCGAAGAGTGTCGGAGTCACGTGCGGCCTCAGCGACCGGAAACACGGTATAAAAGATCGTAAGAGGCCGTCCGCAACGGTAGCATCTTCCCTGGCCCCCCTTGTTTTCGCGAGAATCCAATTATTCGTCCGTTCCTTGATTTTCCGTGTCTCGTTTCTTTCCGCTCTCGTGTTGTATATCATTGAAGGGAATAGAGAAGAAATTAGCGTGAAGGCTCGTGGGGTATAACATTCGATATAGGATTCACAGGAAAATACAGTTTATGAAAATAAGTAGTGGGGTATTTATATTTAAGAAGGTTACCAACAATTCCGAATTTTTTTTTCATATTCGATCAAAATGAATTTTATTTATTCATTTTATTTTTACATATTTAAGCGAACACTACAAAAGAAAACATTGTAACAAGAGTCTCTAGGGTACTAATGTATTTATATGCATTTATAATATTAAAATGTAGGATAGTATGAGTGCAAAGGGTTAATACCTGATTGATTGATCTTTTATAAAGATAAATGGCGAAAAATTTTTAGCATTCAAATGATTTCTCGTTTCATTTCGCGGTGAATGAATCAAACGTAAACACGTATCCGAGAAAACAACTCTTATTGGCATAAAAGCGCGGTAAACTCGATGGACAGGTTCTGAAAGCTCAGGTTTCATCGGGCGTCGAGCGGAATGCGTGCAAGAAAGTGGCGGGATGAAAGAGGCGAGGACGGTCGACTTGGATGGGCACACAGGAAGAAGCTCGGCCACGGGATTACGTGGACATTGGTATTAGCCACAATGTTTCTTTATAGGTGGAAAAATTAACCGGATTCCAAGGAAATTATCGGGATAACTTCTTGCGGAAGTTTCGAGGGCGTCGCGAGCAAACAACGGGGAATGAAAAAGCTAGCGAGCTTTTTTCCCTTTTCATCGACTTCCTGCGTCGATCCTTCGACACTTTGGAATTTTAAATAAACGCTCTACCGATAAATTTGCGAAAGAATATTATTACTTTAGATAGAAGAATTTCTTTTGGAATCAAGTAGAATGGAAATTTTTGGTCTCTCTCATTCAGAGAAGAAGAGATATATTCTTATTTGTTAAAAATAAAAATTAGATTTAAAACAGTTATAGCGTATGATTGGAAAATATCACGACACGTTTCTATGCATGACTATGTGGTTATTTTTCCAATGCAACTTTCCACCTCGTTCATAAATTTATTTCAACCTTATCCGCATCGATGACACATACGTTATTTAATCGTAATCATCTTATATAATCAAAGCGTGCCAAGTATCTGGAAGATTTGTCGATCGATTCAAGCTTATAGATATTTTCTGATGGACACTTTTGATATTCCATTAATTAACGACAAATCGATATTTATCGCATTGATAGCAAGATCTTGTAAGAGCTTCCTGTTAATAATCGATCTTCACTTCGTTAAAACTTCGTATTTATGATATTATTTAGAGATTTAATATCGATCGCTCGCTGGAAATCTGCTTCGTTGTGAAACGTTTTCTGTTACTGGAAATTATACGTTTTTCGTATCTTGTCCTCTACGTTACGACCATTAACGTCGTAAACGTTCCATAATTCCATGCGTTTTCCGCGTTTTTAACCTCTTTCTAAACTGTCCTCGCGATGCGATCTTCAAACGATATTGATAGATAACAAGCGAAACGTAATAATTTAAATAAAATAAAATTAATTGTCTTGATTTTATTTCGTATTCCGCGAAGAGATTAATTCTATACAGATTTACGATGATGAAAGATCATCTCAAATTATCTTATTATGCAGGATATTCATTTATTTGAAGAAGAATCGATTTTTCAAAAATAATCGAAAAACACAACAATGATCCAATATCTTGGAATAAAGATCGATCAATCGGATCGGCCGATCGACTCTTACTTTCAACACGTGTCGTTGACTGGATTCTATCGTCGCGCCCTTATCACGCGCGACTTTGTATCATGAATTAAGAGAAAGTATCGCAGCCTCCTGCTGGCCCACTGCACCGGCGAATCAGAGCTGAACTATCAGCCTGTATCAATGCTCGAGAAGTTCGAGCTGGCGCGGATTACTGGCCCTGAGATTCGTGTCGTACGATCAATTTGTGTACCCTTTTTTTATGGGGCTCGCATCGAAGATATTCGAACAAAAAACAAAAAAGATTTAAATAAAGAAAAAAAAGTAGAATCTTTGGAAGGAAGATTGATATAGATGAAATAATGATATTTTTCTTTGTGTAAGCTCTCTATATGATATAATTCGTTTTTATTTTATTTTAGAGAAATAATTTTGGAAGCATCGTGCAGACATTTTAAAGCAAGTTTCTTGATCGTAAAACAATAAATCTCGTATAATAAACTATAAATTGACAAGTATTAGTTACATAAATGCTGCAGAGTTTAAGCAAGAACAAAAATTTTACTTTTTAACTCGCGTTCAAATTTATCTCAAACGAATAACGACATAGGTCGTTATAATGCGAACAGTAAGCGAGAGAAATTGCTGTATTTATGATATACAGTTTGACAAACTGTACTAAACTTGCGAGTATATTTTATTTCGCCACCTATTTGACCTTTTCAGAAATTAATCCTCCCTTCCTTCGTCAAAAATGTCCAAACTGTCTTCAAACGGTACAAATTAATCGGGAGATCGAATTCACGAGAGAAAAGGGGGATCAAAAATAAACGATTAATCCCTGTGGCATTCCTTCGTGTGCACGCCATAATGACAGGAACGTGTCTGCGTAACGAGAGGGAAACGGCAGCCGTAAAGTATCGGCGACAAGCGTTAAGGTGTCGTAAAGGCGATAATTCAACGGGTTTATCAAGCACGGCCGAACACGGTCAACCACTGTCTTTACGACCGATCGATATTAATGCCCATTGTTAAAAACGAGCGGCGGTATATCGATCGAGCAGCTTGAACGCAAATTGCCGGGACACGCCGAACCCCTTCCCCTTCGTTTCGATTCGAATTAATATGGAGAGAGAGAGAGAGAGAGAGAGAGAAAGAGAGAGGTTATGGTCGTCGTCGGTTCGATGGTTTGGTTTCCACTTTCTTCTTTACCTTCGTGTCTACAACGATCTGACGGATCTGAATTATCGACCGGTATATCTGTATCGACAAATTTTCGAGTATCTTTTTCCTTTTCGTTTCCTTCGCTCAATTGATCGAGAAATCGTTCGATTATTTAGATCTCTGCGTTGCACGCGAAATTTCTAGAATATAACGTTTCGATAAGGAGAAACTTTGTTTTTTAATTCGAATCAGAAGAGGTTAAGAGTGATACGGATGTTGAGAAATATCGATTGACGCCATTTTTTTTTTTTATCATTGCACACCTGTCCGTTTGAATTGACTCGTAGTGGACAGATTTCTATAGTATTACATTATACGTTAACTTCATCAGCTTGTTTTATATTACTTAACATTTAGGTCTCTCCTCGAATGAGGATGTTATAACGAAGCTAAATGTTAACATTTTTTTAAAAAAAGAACATTGATCTCGATAATTATAAACTTCAAATTACAAACTTTCACAAGTTATCGAGTGCCACACTACACTTTTCGCACGAAAGATGTATATGATATATTTTACCTATGCACTTTATATTCTTGGAAACAAAAGAGAGAGGAGAGAGAGAGAGAGCGTATCACAGGATACAAATCCATCCCCCAGTTTTCCAGCCGGAGGATAATAACTCGATGTCCGCCCCCTCTGATCCCCGGTGCAGTGAAAGCTAGGTGTGGAACAAGAGGCGTGACAAATCGTGGAATCGGGTCGATCAATGTACGAGCTGCGTAAGTGCGTGGTGGCTCGAAATTGCACGCTCGTGTCTCCTACCTACCTTGGTCCGTGTCCACGCGTGTAAATCGCGCGTGTAGGTGCAGGGAACCGTGTCTGTGTCGCGTGTACGTCGGTGTCCAGTGATTAATCCCCGCACACACGCCCATAATTCGCCCCTGGATCGGCTCGTAAACGTTCGTCCCGAACCGGACCGGATTAAATAAGAGCTTTTCAATACGGCTCCCGGTCTTATCTATCCCCGATTCCGTGTTATTAGCCCTGACATAAATTGATGTATACGCGTCCTCCGCTCGACTCGTGCACGGTTTTCGAGCCGTCGTATTTTTCGCGCTTTGTTTCCTCTTTTTTCTTCTTCTTCTTCTTCTTCTCTTCTCTTCACTATTGCCGTTTGATTATATTGGCACCTTCCTCTCGACACGATAACAGATTACAAATGTTTCACTCTTGACTAGTTTCATCGATTCGACGAGATCGAATTTCTTCGAGAAGAAGAAGAATCGGAAGTATATCGTGTTTCCGGGAAGGAAGAAAAAGAGGACAAATTGCTCAACGATAGAGCACGATCCTATAAAAGTTGTTTCAAGAGCGAGACGAGCAAACGACGAAGTTACGTAAATTTGCTTAATAATGCGACAGTCGCAGACCGTCCACGGCCATTCTTCATCTCGCGTACGGGCCGCTCTTCTGGAAGAAGTCCAGTCAAACCAGTGTAACACGAAGAACGAAGGCAAAAAGTAACAGCCATTGTTACTAGTTCCTGTTACCGTGTCCCGCGCACAATACCATTCCACGCTTCCTTTGCAACCGTGAAAAATAATCCGGCTTTGTCTATGATGTGCGCAACAATGCGCCACTGGTGCAAGCTATCGTATGGTCGCGGTTGAAATGTCTTTTCAGAATAATGTCTCGTTCGAGCAAACGTACGGGCCGACAAATGGCATCTCACATGTTTAATATCACGGTGCTCGAGTTAATTGAAATTGCTTAAATTCTTGTCAGAGAGATCGTTAAAATTCTTAAAAATTCGTCTTCGAGAGTTGAGTGCAACACGAGTCAATAATTTTATAAATTCGGTAACGATAGCCTATAAATATATCGGCCGGTTCAACCGTAACCTTTCATCCTCGAAATCGATTTCGAATTTCGATTTCGAATCAGGTAACGAGAACAGAGGACGATGATTATACTGATCGGCGCAGGCGAGAAGATGAGACCACACTGGCGGCAGGTGATCCGATTTCGTTGATCCGTTCGTGACGAATGAAGATACGAAACAGAGTAATCCGTCGAGAACGAACCGCCCCAATGCCATTAAACCACGCTAACGAGTCCCTTGGGCGACGTGATGAAGTCGAGTACTTAATTTTCTTTCATAATGAGACCCCTCTAACTGAATATCCCGCCTTTCAATTTAGAAAGAACGATAGTAAAATTAATTCTTCCTTTTTTCTTCTTCTCTCCAACGAATATCGGAACTGTGAATGAATATCTCCAAATTAAGCCGATTAAAGATCTGGATTCTGGATTTTTCAAAGTAAAAGTTGACGAACTCTTCGTTTTCCTCTCCTCTCAAAATCGAAATCTCATTGGCGAGTGGATAAATTGGATTGTTAAAACTGGGTAAAAATAGTTAGAAATCGTTGGAAGGACGATAACGAAAAGAAGTTTGTGCAAGTTATGTCAAAGAAACGAAATATTCCTCGGGGTAATAATTCGACGGATATTTTAAACGAACAACAAGTTGCAATTTGCCCGCTCGAGTTGCACCGATAATTATAGGATGAGCATTTTGGCGGGCAATTTAATTTCGCAAATGATCCGTCCACGATTAATATTCATAATTTGCACAAGTTGGATAACCGGTTATACAATGTGTATTACATAACACACGCAAGAGAGAAAGAGAGAGAGAGAGAGAGAGAGAGAGAGAGAGAGAGAGAGAGATGTCCAGAA